GTGATCGGAAGGGACATACTGACCTTGTAATGACCCAGGGGCTGTAAACGACATAGGCTACTGTATGTTAACATGCAGAATACTGATGAAGAATTCAGACCGATGGTATTGTATTTTGGGCTATAAAATATGTGTTAATCAAGTACTTAGCAAACATTATAACTAAGGAGACTTAAATTGGGGTTTCTGAATGCTCTTTAGCAAGTAGCCTTTTGTCTGACTTTGCATAGGGGTTTATAATGGAGGATTCTAAGGTGAATCCAAATAGGTTCACACACTGGCACTGCTTCTCAAATTAGTATTCATTGTGTGGCTGAGACCAGTGACTGAGAACAGTTAATTTGTTGAGCCACACTGTCCACTGGCCTACAGAATACTTCATTCGTCTTGCTTCACATAGGGAGTTTATAAGTAATCTCATAGAGATAATAATTGACAACAGAAGTCATGATTTACCACCTCATTATTTGATATATATTTTCTTTGTACACCGTTCTTTATCTGTTGGTTTACCGGGATTTTAGCTACAACTTTTAAGTGCACGAAAATGTTCTTTATTTATCTAAGCCAAAGTGACTTAATCAGAAATGTGGATCTGTAATATGTTGAAAAGGATTCCTGAAATAGCTATGAACTTCATTATGCATTCCTGCCTTAATCTGCTATTAGCACTGCCAGGTCTGAGCTGGATTCTCAGCCAAACCGCAGTACTCTGAGCCCTATGCTAAATGCATTAAACTGAGAACCAGACTGTGTCTTGTAGCTTTAACTGCCCTCTGATTGTATTCATTCATACCGAATGATTCGGAGCAATTTTGGCTTGCACTTTCACTTCAGGGCTAGGGCTAACTTGATCCCACTTCAGCTCTGCCGTATGTGAATGCAGGTCCTCTGTGTAAATTCCAGATGGTTGTAAGGAAAGGATAGTTTGAGGAGGTAAAAAATTGCCGCCTTATTGAATCAAACCCAGCCATTTCCTGTGCCTGAGTCTGCACTCCACTCCACACTCTCCATATAAGGCAATGGTATTTACATGAGGGAACGGCCTGCCATGTCAGTATGGATCTAAGACTGGTGCTGCTGACATTTTTCAACTGCTGAAGGATTACAGTGGGGAAATGATCTGTTACAGTATTTTCTGGTGAGGATTTTGCAAGGAGAACAATGGATTTTTCTCTCCTCCTTTTTATGAATGAAGCATTTCTTCTTTCTGTAGTGTTTGTTTTTGTGAAGTTGTACGTTTTCTAAAAGTGCCACACATGTAATAAGTGGGTAAACTAGAGAGCAGATCTTCATCTGTGTTCATATGTGATGCCAGCCAGACTCAATGAGATAGATGGTGTTATTATAGCCTCTCTCATACTAGTATACTCTCCAGATGTGCCATTCACCAGTCTGGAGAATCACATTACACTGACCTCACAGCTGCTCCTTAGTCAATTAATACAATGAATGTCCTAATTTGTCATGCAGTCATTTGGATTACACAATTATGCTTGGTGAGTTGCGCCATTCAGCATCAGATGCTTCCCTGTCGTCCATGGCAAAGCAGCATCTCATGGTGCATTCTCATGACAGTAAGATCGTATTCAGGAGTTGTTAAAATTTATGATTTTTTCCCTTTGTGTAGAAGTTTATTTTTGTAGTAAAGGGACTTTGCCGACTTGCTACATACAAAATTATCTGAACGGACCTGGCATCGTCGTAATTTGAACCAATTTGTACAAAATGGTAAATGCAAACTTCCCAGGAGGACTTGTGCACTATTTTCGTGCCTTCTTGTTTCATACAAACCCGATTAGTGCCATCTCGCATTGCAGTTATCATTTGTTACATCAGAAAACATTGGTTTGAATATTACTGTAATGTTGTTGTTTTTTGTCAGTAGTTGTGCACTAAGTTGTATAATCAGTCAGTCAGATGGTTACTGCAAAATAAACCCCTTAACACAGATATGGGCGTTTCATGCCTTTCTAAGGCTGTCTTCTTCCTGCTGTTTCTAATAGTAAGCATTAATGTAAAGCTGTTGGGGTTGAGATATTTTATTGCCTGGTTATTTTAAATCCTGATTGATGTCTTCCCAGGGAGTTTGGGAGTTTGACCTTGCGTGCATGGTGCAGATGGGTATCATTTTTGTCATGGTGTAAATAATGCCTACTGTTCCTGGGTGAACCACAGCACAAGCGTAGTGAACTTTAGCTTTCCTTGTTTCCGGTGTTCCTTTACGAAACGGAACATTTTCATCCCTAAATAAGCCTAGTGGGACCAACTATAGCTCGTAAAAGCAGAGATGCTGTTTTCTCCCTTGCTTGACTTTGTGTGGTCTATGACTTTAAATCTTGGACAGTAGGTGTGGTCCTTGCACTTTTTGTAAAGACTTCTTCAGAAAGAAAATAATAAAATTACGGGTGTAGTGCTCTGTCTGGCCCATTGCAATTGTGTTTTTGAGTAACTTTCATGATCATTTCCATTGTAAAATGTACTTCAGTCATTTTTGTTTTACTTCTTCTTCATCGTCGTCTCATTTAAGTCTTAAATTAAGTCTTTCCAGGTGTTTATGTGTCCCATGGAGTGATAGTGATGTGGACTCAAACACTGTGAAAGAAACGGTTCAATAGAATTAGAAAAACTGTTGAAAGACAATGAACTCTATCTGTAATACATGCAAAAATAAACTAAACAAAACAGTCTGTAAAGGTCTGAAAGAAGTGTTTACTGTTTTGTTTAAAAAGCTGCCTTCCTCCTTTAATTGTTTTTGAGCCAGCTCCACTTCTAATAATGTTCAGGAGAGGTTCCTTATTGTTGTCATGGTGTTGAGCGTTTATTGTGTTTCTTTATTTTCCTGTAATTTACCTCGGACTTGAATTGTGCTCGTTTACGATGGCAAGTTAATTAGTCCTTCAAGGGAGGGAAAAAATCTTCCATACTTGGTCTGCTTCTGCTTTCTTGCGCCCCTAGATTTTTCAGACTGTGGAATGTACAATTTTGAGAATGTTAAATGTCTTTCCAGTTTACCTCATTTCATTGTCACGGCATTCCTTAGCTTGGGAAAATTGCTGTAAGAAAAGAACAGACAAATGTGGCCTTCAAATCAGACTAATGCACTAGTAATGATTGAACATTACAGAGGAAAATGTTTAAAACAGCAGTGCGTTTGGATCATGTGCTCTCCAAGCGGTACACTCACTGTCTATGTCTGTCTGGCTCTCTTTCTGTATTTCTTGAGTCACACTCTTTGTATCCTTCTCTTTTGATTATCCTGTCAAGTGCACTTGAGGCTTTGTGTCGTTCTGAGTAAGGGTCTGGGTCCTCATGGGTCATTGTGACCTCAGAATGGTAGCCAGAAGCCATTGACTCACGTCCCATGATGAATGACCCAAGCTCTCCGGAGACACACCCTCTGCAAAAACATCACCAGAGCGGAAGTACAATGGGAAGGGAGGTAAAAGAGAGGGGGATGAGGGAGAAGAGGAGGAATGGTGAGAACATCAGGCGAAGATCAAAAAAAGGGTTTGTAGTGCTCAGGGAGCTTTAGGGAGACTCCTGACCGTGCACTTTTCATTGGTTTAGAAAAACAAAATCAACATCTGCTGCGGTGAAAAAGAACGAGCTGTGTTAAATGTGCCGCAGGCGGTGAATTGGACGCGGTCATTTTGCTGACTGGACTGTTTGCTCACATTAACTGTTGTCAGCAATGTACTGTGTTTATCAGCGTTCATGACTGAATGCGATTCAGAATGAAGGTGTAATGTCTGTGTCACTGGTGGCATTAAAAGTGATTGCAAATGATTATTTCTGAACAGGTTTCTCAATGACTTCCTAACCCCCCATCTGCCACTGTAGTTTCTATCACAATACCTTAAATATGGCTTAATATAATAGTATGATATTTTAAGTGTTCCAATATCAAGGAGAAAATCATTCCTGCTGATTAACAACATTTTAAACTAGCCAAAGCTGGTTCACTGGTCTTAGATGCAGTGTTATTTTAGTATTATTTACATACTACTGTGGTATTTATTAATATTTTGAACTAATTTTATTTTTAGATTTTCTGTTTTCATTTTAGTAACTTTTTTTGCTTTTATATTTTTTTATTGTTTTAATAATATATTTATATAGCTTGAATTTTTTTTTATTTCAGTTTTAGTTCTTAATCTTCTTATTTATAGAAGTTGAATTAGTTACTTTATTTCTAAATTAAGTTTTTCATCTAATATTTTATTTTAGCTTTATTCTAATTACTGAAAACATAATTGAAATAACATTTTAGTCTTAGTTAACAATTACAATGCTGTTTAGCTAGTATCTTGTTCTGATCAGAGTGGTCTGCTGGCTGATTTTAGGGTAGTTTTGAGCAATTTTTAAGTCGATGCCCATGAAAAACACCAGCTTAGCCAGGCTTAGAGACAATCTTAAACCAGCTAAGACTAACAAACTGGTTTAAGTGATTTGTCTGTGATTATAAGTGGTTTAAATGATCATAGAAGCATTTCCAGTGTAATTGCTCTTGTCTAGGTATCATGTTGCTTCCTACCACTAGTATACCATGCTACCCTACCACCCTAAACTCATACCATTCATTGAGAGAGAAAAAAACTGCTCATACAAACAGAGCAATGTTTCGAAAGGTTAACACTCTTCTGGGAAGTCAAACTATGAATGGCTTACTTACAGTTGTCTCTGTACATCACATTTGAGAGAAAGTATTTCAGCATTAAAAATATGATGCTATCTAGTTATGGAGTGTCTAGTACTGTCTTTGGATATGCTAATCTTGTAGCATCTTGTCCAGGGACTACGGATGTAAAATAGCCTTGGCTAATTCTGGTACATTTACAGGAATGTTTTATTAATGTACAATGTCCCTGTCAACTAAATAAATAAATAAAAAATAAATAAATAAATAAATCTAGTTTCTGCCAGGTAGCCTGCTACACAAAAGCTATGGGTGTGTATACAGTCTAACGAAAGTTTCTTGTTTGTGTTTGCTTTCACAGGGGAGCCGGGGACACTACCGGTACCACTGGCAAAGCCACAATGTCAAGCAGAGTGGTGTGGATGATATGGTGCTTCTCTCCAAGATCAATGAGGATGCCATTGTGGAAAACCTCAAGAAGAGATACATGGATGACTTCATTTTTGTATCCTTGTCCAGCTGAAAATACATCATAAATCCTTAGTCTAACTGTGCTAATATCTCAATCTGTTATCAATCTGGCCCTAAATACGGATGTCTTCTGTCTGAGTTTTTGCAGATGGATGTTTTCCTGTGGCTCACTAGAAAAGTCTTGGATTCCATCCTCTTGAGTATAGATTAAATCTTGATTGGGTTTATTTTGACCAAAGCTTCACTGAACACTAACATTTAGCAATGACGAAAGTTGATCTTGAACTCTATGGTACAACCATATCAGTGTGTTGTCCTATTTTCCCACAGTAGCAGGGACTGTTTTTGATCAAAGCCGTATGTGAGATTCTGAGAGCTTTGTAACAACAGATTGTTGAAGGCAGCCAAAGAATGCTGGTTTACCTCTCTTCTATATGAACCCAATGTACTTGGCAGAGTTCATGTCTAATTCATCACACATTACTGGCACTAAAATGACCTGAACTGTTTCTTGATGAAAACCTCACTTGCATTGTATTTCTATTTTCTGCCCTTATTAGGTTTATGGAGTCTTAGCAGACTCTGGCCATTTTGGTCCATAATCAGTCCTGTGATTGTGGTCAGAAAATAGAAACAACACCAAAGTGTTCCAGTCAGCAGCGTATGGAACTGAGGTCACAGAGCGCCAGGCTCAATACTTCCTTTATTTGCAGTGTGAGCAACTTATGGCAGGGCAGCCAAATAGCTCCAATCACTCACTGCCGGCTGTTGCCTTCCCACTGCATTCAGAGGAGAGCAACAGCATCTTAATAAGGCTCTGACCCAATAACCAAAGTCTTCACTGCTGCCACATATAACTCTTCACTGATGTCACCAGTCCATTATTCACACTTGGGCCATTTTTCATCGGCCGGTCCAGCCAAAGTTTTATGAATATCCTCTGTGTATTAACAACCACAATGAGTAAAATAGTCCATGAGGTTTTCCTCTATTGTGAATGCTAAACCTCTAATAGTTTTCAGCAAGAGAGAGTTTTCAGTCTAATAATTTCCACAGAGAAAGATACATTTTGTAACGAAATAGTTAAAGGGACAGGACACCAACAAATGAAAATTCTGTCATCATTTAGTCATCCTCATGTCGCTCCAAAACGGTATGACTTTCTTTCTTCTGCAGAATACAAAAGAAGATATTTTGATGAACATTTTCAACTGTTTTGTCCATACAAACAACTTTGGACCCCATTGACTTCCATTGTATAGACAAAAATACAATCTATGTAGAGAGTACATAGAGGTTAAGAGTGATATGAGGGAGAGTAAACAGTTACAGAATTTTAGCTTTCCTTACTTTCCTGCCACTTTTTCTTTCAGCAGTCTTTTGAACCTTGACCTTTACCTGCAGACATACATTGGTCCTGTACTCATCTCAGTAAACCCTTTCAAACAAATGCCCTACTTTGGGGAGAAAGAAATAGAGCTGTACCAAGGCGCGGTAAGTGTTTTTGGTCACTTTATTTTAAGGTCAAATTAACAAACCATTAAATACGACTTTTGCCTCAATAAACTCCTAATTTGCTGCTTATTAATAGTTAGGAATGCAGTTGTTATGTTTAGGTATTGGGTAGGATTAGGGATGTAGAATATGGTCATGCGCAATATGTGCTAATAAACAGCCAATATGTTAATAATAGGTATGCTAATAAGCAACTAGTTTATAGTGAGAATTGGTCCCTATACTAAAGTTTTACCGTATTTTTTCATGGTTTTCTGAACAACACGACTTTTATTCACTACACACACTAATTAGGCTCATTTTTTTCTAAACTCCGTGATCTGTATCGAAACTGTCCTCATAAAGTTCTTTATGTAGTTCGATACCTAGAGGTTTCTGTAAACAGCAATTGCCCTAGTAATGATTTTAATAGAAGAAGTTTGAAGTGTGTAGGCGTGGTGCAAATGCTTTTAACAGCTGCATTCTTAGTCAGAAAAATAGCTGCGTAGACCTGCCTTAGCCATTAAAGCCACCTGGCTATACCGCCACAGAACAGCACGTACAGGTCCATGTTCTTAACCACGCTTGGCCAGAGGTCTTGGCTCCTCATCAAGCTTCTAGCTTCTGTCAATAATCATTTGCTAGTGGATGCTACAGTAAAGACTTTTGAATGTGTTTTGACTTATATGCTATACACAGTAGCTTATTTATAAATGTGAGCACATGCCATCCTAAACATGAACTGTAATGTAAATTATGAAATGAATGTGCTTTTCTCCATTTCTCCCTCTCTCTCAGGCTCAGTATGAGAACCCTCCTCATATCTACGCTCTAGCTGATAACATGTATAGAAACATGATGATCGAGCGTGAGAACCAGTGTGTCATTATCAGGTGAGAGAACTTTCTAACTTTAACTCTGAACATATGTGATCTGAATATCAAACTTAATTTACTGTAATGTAGGTGCTTTTAGTCACAAGAATCTTGATTTGTGTGTAGCTGTTTATTAGGACTCTCAATTTCATTTTTAACTGAAATATTTACATATTATTCTGATCAATTAATGAAATGGAGAAAAACCCTCAGATGGAGATAGTTTATAATAAATTGCATTAGGCTGCAATGGCAGATAAGTAAATTGATGTGAAAAGTGGCTTTAAAAGTTAATGTATTGGTTGTTTTATTTCTGTTTTATTTGTATTTATCTAGTCTTTTATCTTTTTACTCTATTCATTCTATTTCTATTTTTAATTCTGGTCTACCTACACATCTTTGGTTGCGTATCATCTTGCTGTTTGGAAAATTAATTTCCGTACGGGTCAAGGGATATGATTATTAAACACATTATTTTGAAATGTGTTATTCTTTTATATAAATATTTGTACTAAATTAACATGTTAAATTGTACATACAGACGTTCAGGTGTTTTCTCCAGTCTGTTTATGTGTGACGTAGGAAGGGTGTGACATACAGTTAATTTTGGTATGACATCAATGCAGACGTTGTAATGGGAGAGTCACTGGGCTGTCAGAGTGAATAGGTCGTCATTACTGTTTTGCTTATACAGATAAGGGTGTACGGTTAAAATACGGTTGAATAGAACAGATTCAACAAGCCCGGCAACCTCAGCAGTGCCCTTTGAATGTGCATTTCACTAATAATATGTGAGAATAACTTTTATCCCTTTTGATGAAATAACAATAGACAAAGTAATTTTATATCCTTTGGTCTTTATTTTGTATATTATTTTCTCCAGGATGTACGAGACACAAAGCACAAGAGCTTTTGTAACCTGCACTTCCTGCTTGAGCACAGGAAACACACTTGTAAGGCCCTTAGAGGGACCATCTGCTACTGTAAATGGGAGGAAACTCCACTGAATAGACATTTGTGATTGGTATAATATTGCGGGGGCTCTTCCTGTTGGAGACGGCAATCAAAGAGCTAAAGTCTGACTCACCTTAACCAAAACATGAGTCAATGAGTCAAGAAACAAGTTTCTTGATTGGAGAGCCACAGGGGACATTATGAGTTAATTTGAGTGCCAAGTGAACACTGGTTCTGCAGTGCTTTTAATATTATGCTGTTTGTTTGAGCTGTCCAACATGTCAACTTGTGGCTCAACCAGTGGTGTATGTTTTGGGGCTAGGATATGTCTAGGAATTAGCAAGGAATTGACTTCATTTGTATGAACTTTGCCAAACGGCTCTTGCTTTTGGTGTTGCTAGTGGTGCAGTTTAAAAAAAGGTTGGGAAATTTTGCCTATTAGTTTAAGAAAACATTTCATTCAAGTCAAGTGTCTGAATTCACCCTACCACCCTGCAGTTTTATGGCATATGGATAAACATGGTGAAGGAGGGGAAGTTGCATAAAGGGAGATTTTCACTGCTGAGCCTGAGATCTTTCTTTTAGATCTCATAGTCACCTGTGGGCTGGAGGGTGACTGTAGTGCTTACTTCATAGCGACTTCAGATTCAGCATTTTTCTCACCCGTTTGTTTGTATAGCGAGAAAGCCGCTTCCAGTTCAGTCAGACCACATAAAGAGACTGGAAGTGGAATTGTGATGACCCAGATTAGTAAACAAAATCTCCCATGACATTGCTGCCCAGGCATCCTGTGGTCAAGCTGTATTTTGGTTAGGACAGGCACAGGTTTTTCTAAAAAAACATTATGCATGAAGGACAGTTCCTTTTCACATGGCCAGTTACTTTTCAGAAGTTTGCTTTTTTTTAAATGCCTCTTATGTTCACCAAGGCTGCATTTATTTGATCAAAAACACAGTAATATAGTGACATATTATCACTATTTAAAATAACTGTTTTCTATTTAAGATATTTTTTTAAATGTAATTTATTCCTGTGATGGCAAAGCTGAATTTTCAGCAGCCATTACTCCAGTCTTCAGTGTTACATGATCCTTCAGAAACCATTCTAATATGCTGATGCTTGGTGCTCAAGTAACATTTCTTATTATTTTCAATGTTGAAAACATTTGTGCTGCTTAATATTTTGTGTAAACCACAAGGCATTTTTTTGGGATTCATTGATGAATATAAAGTTTAAAAGACCATTTATTTGAAATGGATTTTTTTTGTAACCATGCCGAAGTCACTTTTGATCAATTTAACGTGTCCTAAATCTTACTGACCCCAAACTTTTGAACGGGATTGTATATTGCCATAAGTGTACGATTGTCTGCATATGTGTAGGATTGTGATTTTCATTGTCTGTATGGCATAATGGTACAGAATTGTTTGGTGAAAACAAGACAGAAGGATGTAGCAGAATCTTGTATTAAAATAGTCTCTCTTCCCCAAAAGAGGAAGCCATTTACTGAATGAATTAGACTTTGCATGTGCTAAAGGATAGAATTAACTGATCACTTTGTCATCTTGTTATGGCAGCCCCTATGGACTGTACAGTATGATATACAAAAGAATTCACACTCACCGGTGTGACCCAGTGCTGTATTTGCTGAGCTGATGTTTCTGCTGCTGAATAATGAGTCTCATGACTCGTCACTTACTGAATGAGACTGAATGATTGATGCGTCTCTCTTTCTTTCTTTTTGTGCCCATTTTTGGTCAGCAAACGTACGCAGGAAGTTAAAAATGAGCATTACAGCATACAAATTACAAATCCCCCAAAGACGTGTTTAAAAATAGCCATGGACAATTAATCTAAGTGGACTGAGTGTACAATGAATGTACAATAAGAGTGTGTTCCCAGAGCTTTCATTGCCTGTAGACGAGCAGGGACATTTCCTTTAAAGGGGTCATACGATGCTTTTTTAAAGATCATTATTTGGTGTATTTGGTGTAACAGAATATGTTGACATGCTTTAATGTTCAAAAAACACATTATTTTTCAAATACTGTACATTATTGTAGGTCCTCTATGCCCCGCCTCTCTCAAACGCTTAGTTTTCTACAAAGTCCCTCCTTCCGACAAGCGCAGTCTGCTCTGATTGGCCAGCTGACCCAGTGCATTGTGATTGGCCGAACACCGCAAGCACTCGTCGGAAATGTAACGCCCCTTACCATAATCGCGAGCTATATCTTTCAAAATAAATGTAAAGACATCTACTTTCGGAAGGCCAAATAAAGTGCTTTTGCTTTCGCCTAGAAACACACAGCGTCTCCCTGACATGGCTGCTTCAACACTAACTGCGGTTACTGAAACCACGCCTTCTTTCTTTGCGTGCACATTTGGGCGGCATTATAAGGTGGAAAGCCTATAAACTCGCAAGACAAAGGAATGAGAACCACATGGCAGGCTTAAGCTCCTGTAAGAACTCTTGGAGCCAGCATGAGAAGTTTTTCTGCATGTATATGGCGAGGCTCTCACGATAGGATGAAGTGAAATTAAAGGTGTGTAGTACCGCTGCTGTGTGATGTAATGGACTTCTTACTGCTTACCCAAGCTTCCTTTAATGTGCTACAGCTGTGCCTTCTCAAAATGGCAATACTGACATTGGTAATAGAAGAAATATAGAAAAATAAACCAGCTTCTTCTGTCATCATCCGCCAAACCACATACATCTTAATGCTTATGGCCCTGCCAAAGGCAAAGGGCAGGCGGAAAGATGCAAGTAGAGGGTAAAGCAACTGAAGAAAACGAAATAGAACCAGCGTTACGACACAGGATTAATGAATGGCATTTTTATTTGCTTTAATTTGAGTATAAGCATTTAGTACATTTTCTTGCCCTGTTGGCTATATGTATGTGTACATATACCGTACACTGCTGTTCAAAAGTTGTTGTTTTTTAACAAATTAATTTGATTTTCTATTCATCACATAATTCTGAATTACGTTTTCCACAAAAATATTAAGCAGCACAGCTTTTGAACATTGCTAATTAGAAATGTTTCTTGAGCTCCAAATCACTGGATCACTGAAGACTTTAATGGCTGCTGAAAATTCTCCTTTGCCATAACAGGAATAAATTATATCTTAACATATGTTAAAACAGAAGATTGTTATTTTAAATTGTAATAATATTTCACAATATTGCTGTTTTTACCGTATTCTTGATTAAATAAATGCAGCCTTGATGAGCATAAACATCCACTGTTCAGACGGCACAGATGTATACATATGATCCCATAAGAAAATTACTGATTATTGTCAACAGAAACAAACCTTTTGTTTTGTGTGCAATCTGATTCAAACTCAGGCCTTTCACTTTGTAAATAAGCATGTGCTCCCATAACCGAGCAACGCATTACAGACTATAGCTCACTATGGACAAATATAGAAACATATTTAGTTAATTAAAAGAATTCCCCTCTCGCCAGCACCATTATACTTGATCTGTATTAATTGAGGATAAGAATCTACTAAACCCTCTCTGACCCTCTTAAAAGCTTGCTGAGCAGATTTTAGTGCTGTGCTGTGGGGCACACAGGGGGCTTTTTTTGCTTGCTAACACCCTCCTGTTTTTGTTTTTATAGGAAAATTACAGTCTGGGTTTTAATATGGTCATAAAAATTTTGACTGGTAAAACATTAAATTCTGTTAGTATTATTTTGTAACAATCATTGTTGTCACTACTACACCCTAAAAGCCTAACATATGTATAATAGCATTATATTATGCTTTTAGGATATGCACATATGCATTACCGTTCAACAGTAATATTGTGAAATATTTTACTTTAAATATTTGGTAACACTTTAGTTTAGGGACCAATTCTCACTTTTAACTAGTTGCTTATTGGCATGCATATTACTAGTATGTTGGCTGTTTATCGGCACAAATAAAACACATATTAATGCCTTATTCTGCACCACATTTTAGATCCCTGCCACATCCCTGAACCTAGCTTACTTAATAATAATAATAATAAGTAGCAAAGTAGGAGTTTATTGAGGCAAAAGTCATAGTTAATAGTTAATTAATAGTGAGAATTGGTCCTCAAACTAAAGTGACAACATATTTTTGTTTAAAGTATCTGTGCATTTATTTATTTATATAGGAATGAGCTTAACATTTGTCATCTTTTTTATGTTCTTCCCAGCGGTGAGAGCGGAGCAGGGAAGACGGTAGCAGCAAAGTACATCATGGGCTACATCTCCAAAGTTTCAGGTGGAGGTCCCAGAGTTCAGGTGGGTTGCACAGAACAAAGAAAAAATGAAAACTCTTGTAACTTTCAGGAATAGTTAAGGTGCGGTTGAATAGAAAAACAGCATACAGTGGCTTCCTGTTCCTGATGACTTTACCGAGATTGTTTCTGACAGTTAGTGTTAAACAGAATCCTGATCCATGTTGATGTTTGCTTCATCTGACATTATTCCTCTTCCCCCATCTCTTACAATCTTTCTCTCATCCCCTAAACCCCACCAGCAGCCATCTGTCCCCCACAATCCCCTTCTGATCTGTCCTGTGTCCCCCTCTCAGCCCCTTCAAGAGCCATGTGAGTGAGCTCAGAGACTGACACTTGTTGCTTGTATTAATCTGATTGAATTAACCGTTTGTTAATGCATATATAAACCAATTCTATCATTCTGGTATGCTTATATTTTGCATAAAATTTTAAGTGAAAATTAATAGGAATTTGAGAAATTATTTTGGTTTTTCCTCCTTTTGCTTTAATGACAATATCACTCGAGCTGCCTGAACTAAGTTATTGTCTAATCTACCAGGTAAAATATCTAAACATGATCCACAATCTATGGCTAATTACTTAATTTCATTAATGTTTTAAAGCCTTATTTTTGTTCGTAATTAATCACACTGAATTCAATAAAATTTTGAATCACAAAAATTCAGTGTGGACATTTTAGTCCCACTGTGCTTATTTGGGACAAAAAATAAAAATCCATGTTGAAATGATTCCCTCTGTGCTCTATCTAATGATTTGATAGTGTACAGGCTGTTACTAGTGTTTTGACGAGTATGTTTGATGGCGTCTTGAACAAAGTAGCGTATTGTGGTGGTACAACAGAAAGTCTCTCTGCTCGGGCTGCTCTGCTGTGTCTATGCTTTGTCTGATCTCCTGAATGTCACAGTGCCTCATGATCATATGACCATCACTGCTGAATGGTTCATCTTGATATCTTTGGTGTCTTGCTCATCTGCCTCTTTTATTTTCTTTTTATCTCTCTGTGTATCAATTTTTTTACTTGTGTGGTCCACACAGGAGTTGATACCCTTTCTCTGTCTATATGCAAATTATAAATTTTTCCTTTTTTTTTTCCTGGTGTTGCAAATGCAAACTAGCCCTCGGCTCTAATTTGTTTACATCAGCAATGTGACTTTTAATTTCAGATTTCTTAAAAATGTCTTTATGCAATTTGTACACTTTATATGTTTGATAAGAACTTGAAGATGGGACGTCTAATGTCATAAACAGTGATGGTATTGGAGATCCCAGAACTTCTGCGTCTCTAAATTCTGTGTGGAGTGTGCACGCATACTGATATATGTGGGGGTGGGGGATGAATTCAGGTCAATTAGGCCACTTTTAGACACTGGGATGACCAATTTGACCTGAATTCACTCTACAAGATGGGCGTTACCCACTGATCTCATTTCATCAGTTCCAGATCAGCATAAGTTCTGTACTTATAATCCTCCACAGTATGAAAAACGTCAACTTAACTCTCAATCTCTCTCTTTTTCCTGTTTATGTCCACACAGCATGTCAAAGACATCATTCTGCAGTCCAACCCTCTTCTGGAGGCCTTCGGGAATGCTAAGACAGTGAGGAACAACAACTCCAGTCGATTTGTAAGCTTCGATCATCCTCCCATATACTCATTTTATTGAAGAAAACAGATAGCATATGTCTTGTGTTGGGCTGCGTCTTGTCCTCAGGATGAATTTAAGAGGAACACAGTTGCACTAGAACCAACAAAAACAGGGTGAGCATCCAGTTCAAATACAAAAAGAAAGAAAAAGCAATGTTTTGCCACTGCAATAAGAACATTTGATAAATATGATGTTATCGTAAGGCTTTGGCCTAAACGTGGCAAGTACTGCCCTTAAAAATACTCACAGGCCAATTTAAAGCAGCTGTTACAAAATATGTTGTACGCCACATTTACTTGCAGTTCTGCTTCATTATGCCCAGACATGTCAGTCTTGTTTTTGTTTTCTTGGGATTGGTGTAATTTTATTGTAAGAAGAATGGCTTAGCTGTGATACAAATGGATTGTGTAGTGGATAGGAGAGTTTCGTGGATGAAAAAGCATCTAGATGAATTCAGGGGTCCTACAGGGGCTGGTAATGTCGTTACAGGTTTTTGACATGTCTGGTAACTGCAGACAGCTGCAGCACACATAAACGAACAGAGAGAGACACATAAATGATAGTGGAGAGTGTTTGTGTGTGTGTGTCAAAGCACCTATTTCCTCTTATTTTCAGTTCTGGGCATACACACCTGCAGTACATCACGTCTGTGCCTTTTTAACATTCATCTTCCCTGACAGGGGAAATACTTTGAGATTCAGTTCAGTTCCGGCGGTGAGCCAGATGGTGGGAAGATCTCCAACTTCCTTTTGGAAAAATCACGTGTGGTGATGCGGAATCCTGGAGAGAGGAGCTTCCACATCTTCTACCAGGTGAGAGTGAGGACACGAGGTTGGCTTCTTCTCTCAGAAGATGTCACTGTTACCGTCAGTAGCATAAGTGCAGCACGTTATGAGGAAAAATTGAATGAATAACCGCAGTAAAATTCAGGAAAGGGAAGATGGAGCCATTTGGCTCTGAAAAGCAGGTCACGTTGTTCTGAGTTTACCACTTGAGTTTTTTGGAAGAGGGAGAGTCTGTCTGACCTTCTTCTTAACGAGGCCTTCTCACCACTGTTTCTCCTTCACAAGTTTGGAGAGTTTGAGAGTTTTCCTATGGTTACGTTTATTTAGGACTTTTTGTTCTTTGGTGTTTCTTCAACTGTGGACACTTTTGGCCCTGCAGACTTTTCAACACTTTTCACACTCTCACTAGTTTGTTTCATTTGTCTGCTAACATTGTCCAGGAGAATGCTAACTTTTTTTTGTTCCAGAAAGTCATAAATTCTCACCGCAGTGTCATTTCCTCCATATCTTAAATTTTGTATTATTTAATGGTGTTTTGTAGTGAAAATGACAGTGGTGGAAATGACATTTGAAAACTTTTTGGAACATTTTTGGACCCTTTTGGCTTGCCAAGACTTATTTCAGAACTAGCATTTCATATATCCTAAATAGAGATAAACATTGAAGATTATTTTCAGACTTTCTACACTATCATTCAGAAGTTTGGGGTCGGTAAGATTTTTTTAAACATTTTTAAAAGATGTCTCTTGCTCAATAAGGATGCATTTGTTTGATAAAATATGTCATCAGAAATCATTTGAACATGCTGATTTGTTGCTCAAGTAACATCTCTTATTTTTAGCAATGTTGAAGACAATTGTGCTGCTTAATATCTTTGTAGAAATCATCATACATGTTTTCACTATTCTCTAATGAATAGAAAGTTGAAAAGAAAAACATTAATTTGAAATAAAAAAAAAAAACATAATGCATTCTTGCTGAATAATGCAGCCTTTCTTCAAAAAAAAAAAAAAGCTTTCTGACTCCAAACTTTTGAATGTTAGTGTGTGTGAATTGACAAAATTTAAACTTGATTGGAAATGGTGCTTAACAGTAATGTGCTCAAAACTGATGTTTACATTGATTTACCTTTATTTTCTTTATATTTAATCTCATATTTCATCTCATGCTCTTCACTGACACTGTTTTTTGCTTGCTGAACAAATACAATACTTTACAAAAAAAAATTTCGGAGCAAAATGTATGGTAACAAGTTTATTTATGGTAACAACGAGACCATTTTAATGTGACCTTGATATAACACAAAACATGTGAAAAATATTTATTGGTTTTAATAAAAATCAAACCTTTGGACAAAAGTGTTGAACTTGAAGAAGCCCACATTCTGTAAATATTACACCTTTTCTCAGCTAATAGAGGGAGCCAGTGGAGACCAGAAAAGTAGTCTGGGTATCACCAACCTGGATTACTACACTTACCTCAACCAGTCAGGTTCCTACAAGGTTGACGATATTAACGACAAGCACGACTTCCAGGAAACCTTGGTAAGTATGATTTAGACAGCTTGGTATTTGAGTCAGACTCTGGTGTCCTGGGAGTCTTATGTAGCTGTGAAAAATTTGCCTGTTCAAATATGACAACTATTTTCCATATTTGCAGACACTGTTGTTGTAACTTCCCTCTCCTCTCTCTGTCTGACCCCAGCATGCCATGGACGTGATTGGTATCTCAGGGATGGACCGCGCCGTGGTGGTGCAGATTGTGGCAGGAATTCTTCACCTTGGGAACATCAGCTTCAGGGAAGCAGGGAACTATGCTGCTGTAGAAAATGACGAGTGTATGTACATAGACTCAGTTCCCCATTTTGGTGTCCTCGTTTGAACTGTGTGCTGTAGATTATTTCATTGCATTAACTGATGCTAAATTGTCTTGCCACACCAAATTACCCTCAGAAAATAGAGCTCTGTTTATGCGCCTGGTATCTGCATATTACATCACACCCTAAAATTGCACAGTGAAACTCTGAACTTCCAGCCCACCCCTCTATTTCCTCTCTCTCTCATTCCCTGCAAGTGTCTCCAAGCTCTCAGGTGGAGCAGTGCACTTGAATGACAGAGGCTGTTTGCTGAGGCATAAAGCCATGCTGTGCTGGGAGCAGACGAAGCTAATCTGTGCCTTTCCTGTTCTGCCCCTTCCCAGCCCCCTAACCCCTCTTCCTGTCTGCTGCCAGCAGCTTTCACACATTTAGTGTTGGCTTGCCAATCTAAAAACCAAATGCGGCACAACTGCTCAGCCGCCTGCGTATAACAAAACCATCTGCAAAGAGCTCATGCATCCTGGGAAATAAATTCTATAGACAACATCTTCCACTGCCAATCCATATATTTTATAGAGGTCTTTGATTGACACCATGTAAGGGTGTTTTTGAGAGCCACGGACACTCCCAGATCTTTTTATAGTTGTGTTGTTTTGGGAGAGCAGTTAGTGTGCTCTGTTCTACCACACCCGAACATCTGAATAATGAGCCATACTTAAGCAGTATGACGGACTACATCACTATCAGGACTGAATGAGGGCAGTTTCCTTTTTAAGGTGGTGAGTCAGTGAAGAGGCGGGGTTCATCACAAATGGAGTGAGGCGCAGGATTGTCAGTAACTCGTGTCTCACCCGTGCCTCTCCTCAGAGGAGATCTATTGTTGTGACTACACCAAAAAAATGCACATGAGTCATATGTACAATGTACCACTGTTTTCTTCAATTTTTCCAAGTTATATATTATATTACACTACATTACATTACATTACATTACATTATAGTTATGTTATGTTACGTTACATTACATTCAAAAGTTTGGGGATTTTATGTACATTTTTTTAGTACATAAATACTAAAGTGTCCGAAAAGACATTTATAATGTTCCAAAGATTTATATTTCAAATAAATGCTGATATTTTAAACTTTTCTATCAAAAAAAAAAAAAATCACAGTTGACAAAAATGTTAAGCACCACAACTTTCTTGAGCCTCAAGTTAGCGTATTAGAATGATTTCTGAAGGATCATGTGACAATGAAGACAGGATTAATGATGCTGAAAATTTAGCTTTGCATCACAGGAATTAATTTAACGTAAAGTTAGAAAACCGTTTTTAATATTTCACAATATAACTGATTTTACTGTATTTTTGATCAAATAAATGCAGCTTTGGTGAGCATAAAACATTGAAAAAAATCTTACCTATCCCCAAACATTTAAACAGTTACTATATATTACACATTTAGAAACACTTGTGTATGGCATTGTGTGCAATTGTCATTCTGACTCTACCAAACTGTTCTTTTTCTCTCCTGCTCATAGTTTTGGCATTTCCTGCCTTCCTGTTGGGCATCGATCAGCATCGTCTTAAAGAAAAACTCACCAGCCGTAAGATGGACGGCAAATGGGGTGGCAAGTCAGAGTCCATAGACGTAACACTGAATGTGGAACAGGCGTGTTTCACTCGTGACGCCCTCTCCAAAGCCCTGCACTCTCGTGTTTTTGACTACCTGGTGGAGGTACAAGCCATATACACCTATACCCCTCTTAAAAACCGATGTTAGAGAAGAAATAAGCACTAAATGGGTTCCTATTTTTTTTAGTCAATCAATAAAGCCATGGTTAAGGACCATCAGGAGCTGAACATTGGAGTATTAGATATTTATGGCTTTGAGATTTTTCAGGTGAGTATTTAATTTACTCGTCACTACTGGAATGATTGTTTTCACAGCAGTTAACAGGATGTGTAGCTTCCAGTCTACCTAATGAGATAAGATGATTGATTTTTAATTGCCTGGATTGATTCTCCTCTACTTTTGTAAACAGATAACATATTAATGAGCTTGACTAATCTGATAATCTCTTGGTTTAGCATCTGGTATTGAGACTTTTAAGATAACTGCCAGTGTTGTCTTCCTAAGAAGGATAAAGCTGGATAAAGCTCTGAAAACAGCTTTCAGCCCTTTTAATTTGATGTTACTACCACTAAGATGCTGAATTCTTGAGCAACAACTGTGTATTTTATTATGCTATTGATAATAATAACAATTGAATCATTGTTTGTCATGTTCACATTATCACCGAAGCTGATTTGCAACTTATTTGTTTCCTTTGTCACCACTACTGGTGTTATTTTTGGTTCATAGTGACAGTATCTATTTTCTGTTTTCACTTGCCTTTTAGAAAAATGGATTTGAACAGTTCTGTATCAACTTTGTGAATGAAAAACTGCAGCAGATTTTCATTGAGCTGACTCTGAAAGCTGAGCAGGTAACACTTCCATTTCTCCCCTGTGCTTTTTGTTTTTGCTGTGATTTGTGCTTTCAATCAGTAAAAGTCCCACCTTTCCTTTAACCTAGTTCTAGCAGTACAGGAAGTACTATATACTTCTGCTCCACCCTTGTACAGGATCATTTTCATCATTTGTTCTTTTCCTCTCTTCAGGAGGAGTATGTACAGGAAGGAATCCGATGGACTCCCATAGAGTACTTCAACAATAAGATCGTCTGTGACCTCATTGAGAGTAAAGTGGTAAGTTTCACTAACTGTGCAAATCAAACATCCATCTGTTTAAAAAGTTGGATATGATCTGTCATTGCCTAGTGCAGTAAATCAATAAAACTAACATTAGCGAACTAAGAAGTTCAGATCCATATCCACAAAAGCCTCCTTTCTCTTCCCATGACTGTTTGTCTAATGGCCTCAAAATGCTTGATATGCCTCCAAATTCAATTTGCTTCACTCACAGAGGGACTAGACACACAGAGCCATGAAATTCACAACAAGGGAGAACCTTAACCATCCATGTTGGTGTGACAGCGTGTGAGAAAGTGCTTCTTCGTGTCACTGCTAAAAGCTAATGGTTGTCTGTGAGAAATTTACAAGCTGTTTTCCTTTCGTTGGACTCTGTGAATAAAGAGAGACGTCTGAATTTTCGGACAATACAGACAGCTGTGTGTTATCAGACAGTGTGTTTTCATTCAGATTAATGTATGATGATTCATTTCCTGAGTTTTGATTAAGCTTGAAAAGCTGTGAATGTGGGCTAAAACGGTTTCAGACACTTTAGACATAAATGTTTTATGTTGTTTTATATATTATAATATGTGGGTAAAATACTTAAAAGTAGATGTCCTGCAATGCAACATGCTATACCTTATTTAAAACTAAACTATACTACATAAGTGTGTACTACTTTTATTACTACGACTACTAAAGATTTTTTTTTATGTCAACTTTCATACTTAAAATACAGATCAAAATGCTTCACAGGTCAGAATATGAAACATTTTAAAAAAGAATGAAAGAATAAATAAAGAAATGAATAAAGTGAATAAATAAATGAATAATACAGGTACAAACAGTAACAATCAACAAGAGCCTAAATAAAACACTAACCAAAAACATTTGAAAAATAATATAATAATAATTCAATACAATTATTAAGGAGCCTAATAGGATGTGTCCAAATGAATTTGAAAAATAGGAATGCATTTTACAATATGAATGAATCTCACTTTCATTTTGTGTCCTTTCCCAGAATCCTCCAGGCATCATGAGTATACTGGACGATGTGTGTGCTACTATGCATGCGAAGGGTGAGGGTGCAGATCAAACGATGCTGCAGAAGCTCCGAATGCAGATCAACAATCACGAGCACTTTAACAGCTGGAACCAGGGCTTCATCATTCACCATTACGCTGGCAAGGTATTTACCCACCTCCCCGCACTCCTCTGCAGTGTTGTTAAATCATTTTCTTTACCTTTTTTCTCACAGAATTTTCTAATACTTTTTTTTTTAGCACTTTGTGTCTTTCCTTCCACCTCCCTCTCAGTCTCTCGTTTACACTTTGTTGCCTTGAGGTAGTTCAGTATGTGTGGCACCATCCATATACCCCGTTTTCAATGAGGCGTGCTCTGAGGGGAGGCAGGGGGAGCCCTCCACATCCTGCAACATTAGATTTAAAATAAGCATGTTCTACTGACAAAGGAAAACCCATGATTTAAAAAAAAACATATGTGTCTTCTAGCATTTACTGCAAATACATAAGTAAATAAATAAATAAATGCAATTTAAAAATGGGTAAAAACAATAAAAAGCCAAAAGAGCCCAAATAATACCCTAACCAAAAAATGATACAAAATGGAAGAGAAAATTAAAAGGAAATAATAAGAATAATCAATAAAATTACAATGGTGAAGATTTTGTCTCCAAATGATTTGTAAAAAATATGAATGCATTTGTGGGATACATATTTTGAAATTATACAACTGTAAAGTGTAAATAATTATAATAAATATAAAAGCAAGGTCCAGATCAAAATGAAATATCAGTCCTAGAATATTTATTTATTCATTTAGTCAGTCATTTATGAGGTTTAAAAACTCTCTACTTTCCCACTTGTATATACAAAGACTGTAAGTACGTAAATGTAAGTAGTTGGTTGGTTGAGCTGACATTGATCTGAGCATCTATTGGCTCAAATGTGGCTCAAAGAATGACTTGTGTTTCTAACCCTGTCCAGAACACACTACTGTTTAACTGAGCTGTTACTTGTCTCTCCAGGTGTCTTATGATGCAGAGGGTTTCTGTGAGAGGAACAGGGACGTGCTGTTCACTGACCTGATCGAGCTAATGCAGAGCAGTGAAATGTAAGTGTCACTCCTCCATCCTAAAAATCTGCCAGTCTGTGATCTCATCCAACAGAGTCTCAGAGCGCTTGAAGATCTTAATATATGTAAATCATGGATATAATCAGGCCAGCTGAAGGGCCCACAATACAAGTGTGCAGGAGATTATCATTGTTTCTGAGTCCAAAAGGCCCCTCTGTCTCTCAAGGGAGTAGGACTTGTAGAGCGTGCCTGTCGCTCTTATGTGCTCCTGGGCCTCTTTTGGGCCCCAATAGCCATCTGTGCAAGCCGTGTCCTCCCGCAGCCCTTTGTGAAGCCTTCTGGGGGTCCGCTTTCAGACTGCATTCAGACACGTGGTGTCATGCGTATATATCTGCACCGCACACACACACACAGAGTTCGCAGGGGAACTTCCTTTGCACCAGCCAGCAGGTCCTATACACAGAACAGAAGAAAGAGAAGTCTTGAATTCAGTGACGAAGCAGGGCTTCTTGTCTATCTGCACAGACGTAGCCCTGCATCTCCACTCCCTGACAGTTAACCCTATGAAGAGGTTTAATAACAAAGCATGCTTATGTGAAAGTTTTCTATTTAAGATGACATAACTTTAACATAAAGTATAAGCTTGATTTCTGCATTTAAACCTGTAATGTGTTACAGATACTGCAGAGAGGACTTAACTTATTATTTAAACCAAGAACATTCCTTTAATGTCCCAAACACCTTAATAAGAGTAGACGCCTTTTTTTTTTTTTTTTTTGTTATATAACCAACTGGCATTTGGTACAAAATTTTCTCAAAGAGCACACTTGAGCTAAACAAGGTCCACATACAGTGAGATTTTATGAATATTAAAATACTGTACAGATACTACAAGGAAACCAATAATATATATTAGCAATAGCAATATATTTACTGCTGTATGCTAAATCTTAGTAAAATCTAGTGAGGCAAATGGATAGTGAGCACCACAGATAAAACACCACAGGTATTCAGACTGTCCCAGTGATGATGATCTCCAAAACAATGTGCACTGTGGCTCGAAGGAATTCAAGTGACCCTGTCTGCAGCAGAGAGACACGATTCAAAACATTCCTGTCTGTTAAACTCTGTATTTCTTCTGCTGTATTCTTCTCTCTTTCTGCCAACCCCAAATCATTCCTTTCTGGTTTGATTCTTTTTATTAGACCTTTCATCCATGCCCTGTTCCCAGAAAACCTCAATGCTGAGAAAAAAGGCAGACCCACTACTGCAGGGAGTAAAATCAAGGTGAGTTGAGGTTGCAGGTTCTTTGCAGGTCTCTGAACCTCTGTAGGTTCTAACTGTTTCTACTCGTATACTACACTGATAACCACTTTTCACATATTCCGGTTGTCTGGCTATCTATGTAGACTGTATGTGTGTAACTCTGTGAGGTGTTTTAGCTCTTTTACATCCTCTTTTTCTTTGTAATGACAGAAACAAGCCAACGATCTGGTGAGCACCCTGATGAAATGTACACCTCACTACATCCGCTGTATCAAACCCAATGAGACCAAGAAACCTAAAGACTGGGAGGAGAGCAGGTGAGAGTCCACGGTCATGGCAAAGTTGAATTCTTACTTCCTGAACATTATTAATGGGACTATTGATTAGCATTATTATTAAAGTAATACATTTTGTGAAAGTGGCCATTATTAATGTTAAAGCAAAAAAAAAAGCAATGCTTTGAGAGCAAAACATCCTCACTTAGTAGCTTCTGCCTTTAATGCGTCATCTGAGCTTGTCTTTCATAAGTTTTAACATTTCCGGGGAAAATCGCAGAGAAACATTTTAACAGAAAAATCGAAGCATTACTCTAGTCTCCAGTGTCACATGATCCTTCAAAAATCATTCAAGTATGCTGAAGTGATGCTCAAGAATCATTTATAGTTATTAAAACAGTTTGCTGCTTAACGTTTTTGTGAAAACCGTTTTTTTTCTGAATTCTTTGATGAATAGAAATTTCAAAAGAACAGCAATTATTTGAAAAAATAGAAATCTTTTGCAACGTTGTAAATGTATTCACTGTTTTTGATCAATTTAATGTATCCTTGATGAATTAAAGTATTAATTTATTTTTTAAAAATGCTAAAATACTACATTTTTGAAGGGTAGTGTAAATCAAAATGGAAAACTAGAAAGGAAAGTAGCAATAAAAGGATTCTAATTTTATTTCTCAGCATGGGTGTCCTTTGTCCCGACAGTTCTTTCACCTTTTTTTTTGTTTGTTTGCTTACTTTTCCTGCCTTTTTCCTCTTTTACCACAGTGTTTTTGGAATGAAACGTGGAATGAAATATTCTGATCCGGTGCATGTATTGTTCAGACTCTAATGGTCTTCCTGTTATGAGGGTTTGTGAGCATTGTTCACGTTAGGCAGTATAATTAGCACTCAATTTCATTCTCAGGATGTGTGTCCAAAAGATTTGCATTTATTTAGTCATTTATTTTGGAAAGACTGATGGAGAAACTACCAGAAATGCCTTATTTGTTTATAAAATTGCAACAGGGCCTTAAGAATTTCTGTAAAGGGGCTTTCTGAGTTGTTGCTGTAAATGTTAACCTTCCTTCCTTCCTTGCTTCCTTTCAATCTGTCTCTCTCTCTCTCTAGAGTGAAGCACCAGGTGGAGTATCTGGGTCTGAAGGAGAATATAAGAGTAAGGCGTGCCGGCTATGCCTACAGAAGAATCTTCCGCAAGTTTTTGAACAGGTAAAGACAGTTTCAAATTCATCCTCAAAGCCTGACAGGAAGCTCTTCATAGAACATCATGGAATGAGAGCATATGGTCACTTCTGGCATTACAATTTCGTCATGCAGTGAGAAGACACCACACTTTCACAAGAAAGAGCTTCAGAAAGAGAAGGAAGAGAGATCTTAGAGTTGCAAGTGTATGTTATGGCACTTTCATGTTGATGAATTTTGGTTCATCTTTTGTTGGGCAGTTTCCTTTGTGCATTCTTCATATCAGTGTGCGGTGATCAAACGTCATTGTGTTAGTTTAAGTGTGTAATTCCTCCATTATGACACCAATTATTTTGGATGCTTCATTGGGTTATTAACTTTTTACATAAAAGTAAAAACCTGAATCATCCTTTGGTGTTTTAATATTAAACGCCTTATTGGTTTTAAAGTGACTTTTTTACTCCACCCTGCCAGTGTTTATCTTGCGCACACACACTTCATACAGTTTATTTACACAGGACTCCACTTCAGAAGACTTTCAACTAAGCACTTTGTACTGTTACATGAATGAAAAATACATACTTTACTCAAATATATGATATAATTTTCCAAATGATGATCTCTCTCAGGTATGCCATTTTGACGAAGGAGTCATGGCCGACGTGGCGTGGGGATGAGAAGCAGGGTGTGCTGCATCTCCTGCGCTCCGTAAACATGGACCAAGACCAGTATCAGCTCGGACATACCAAAATCTTCATCAAAGCTCCTGAGTCGGTAAGACCTGACAAGGTTGGACAACTTCAATTGAAATCTTTCAGCAACAAAATATGATACCCAAGTCTGTTTTAATAAATGTAAAGTTATCATAAAACATCTGCTACACTTTGAAGAGTCAGTATTTCACATTTTGTTCCTCAGTTAGTCAAACTTCTTTTCACTTTAAGACTTCACTTGACAGAATTCACCAAACGTTAGAATGTGAACCTTGTTTGCATTCCAGCTCTCCCATATTCACATATACATATGAATGAAAGTGAATGGAACACGGTCTAATGTGACCATACCTTAGGTTTGACATCAGAAAGTGTCCACATCCTTTTTGTCTCAATATTGAACAGTTTATTGAACCAAAGTCTTATCATTTAAAACCAAACCTCTTTTTTTCTTAATGTTTTACTTGAAAATTGTGATTGTGCCATTTTTCTTTAAAATAAACTACTGTTCAAAATTTTGGGGTTTAAAGAAGTCTCATTTGCTCACCCTAGCTGCATTTATTTGGTCAAAAATACAGTAAAAACAGTAATGTTGTGAAATATTATTACAATTAACAGTAACTGTTTTCTAGTTAATATATATTTTAAAATGTATTTTGCTTTCATTATTTTCATGCAGTTTACATTATACATTACATTATCAATGCCTTTACTGTCACTTTTGATCAATTTAATTTGTCCTTGCTGAATACAAATATTATTCTCTTTTAACAAGTCTTACTGACCCCAAACATTAGTGTAAATGCCACTTTTTTAAATACCGTATTTTGTTATAACACAGTCATGCTGATACATTTTAAAATGCATCAGTGCTCATATACTTTCAGACTGCTCTACAAAATTCACTCAGATAAACGTTTTGAAAAACATATTTTTTAAAACGAGTGGTGTACAACAAGATACACCAGCAACAGCTGGGAAAAACTGCAGCATGTAGAACATTGCTTCTTGCTTTGGTCTAGATTTAATATTTCAGTTGTACTGTAATGGCAGGAGAGTGGTGAAGTGTAAAAGTCAGCCTTTGTCTCGCAGACATCAGCTCAGCTCATAGTGGTGATGAATAGTGGGCAGTCAGCAAGAAAGGAGGAGAGACACTGGGCTGGTCCCACGTCAGCACTGTTAGGTCAACATTACTCTGGATCTGATACACAACTGCAGTGCTGTGGTAAAGCTGCTTCTGTTATGTCCAAGACAGCTTTGCTTTTTCCATTGCACTTTTTTTTTTTTGATTGCTTATGAAAGCACTGCTTGTGGATGTGCTGTGATCTCACTGTTGACATTTAGATGTACACACGTATACATAGACCCACAGAATAAGGCTCTGTGGCTCGGCATGAATGCAGCAGATTATCCAGAGATGTGTGACTTTGGTATATAGGTGTTAAAATGTGGCCTTTTCTATGTGTGTGTGTAATATTAAATATGGGAGAGCCCAGATTTGAGCTGCCCAGCCTCTCAAAACAAAACTCCTTCTGAGATAAGGTGCTGACACAGAGTAATTAGTTCATGACTACAAGAATTTCTTTAGTGAGAATGAGAGCGAGAGAGCGAGTTCATGCATGTAGTAGTCGCTTTGCCAAAATGAACTCTTTGATCCTTCTGAGAGCTGATGAAGTCTTACAGTGTTTGTATGAGACATCCTAACGGTCTGATAGGATAAATCTCACCAACACTGTCAAAAAATGTCTAGGCCAGATTTTTAGCACAGAATTAGGAGAAAGGAGAAAAACAAATTATTTGCATTGTGGTCCTTATTTTGATATACATTATTACGTCATACACGACTGTTCAAAGGTTTTGGGGTCAGTAAGATTTTTTTAATGCTTTTGAGAAAAGAAAAAAAAAAGCTTATCCTCACCCAGGCTTTATTTGATCAAAATTTTTAGTTAAATAAATCTGTAGTAAATCTGTAATATTGTGAAATATTGTTATATTAAGTCGCTATTAAACATAGCTGTTTTATATTTGAATATATTTTAAAATATAATTTATTCCTGTGATGACAAAGCTTATTTTTAACAATCAAAAATGGTTTTTGTGGAAACCATGATACTTTTTTTCAGGATTCTTTGATGAACAGTTAAAAAAAAAAAAAAAGCATTTATTTGAAATAGACATCTTTTGTAAACACTATAAATGTACAAAATTCACTTTTGATCAATTTAATGCATTATTACTAAATATAAGTATTAAAGGGTTTCATTTTCTCAAAATATGCATATATACTGACCTCAAACCTTTGAACGGGATGCACATGCTGGACAGATTATTGTAAGTAGGGATGCACAATATATTTGGGCATATGAAATGATTTATTTTAGTGTTTACTTTCATACAAATCGCATACAAAATGGTATGATTAGTATAAATGTGTTGTTTATCGGTTATTTGCCATAACATTAGACTGTTTATCAATGGGAGGTTTGTGGATGTGTGTTAGTTTGTGTGTGGGGTGGGAGACAAAGAAGGATTTCATTGTCTTGGCTCATAATTTCTCATCCTGTGCCAGCCGTGTGTGTGTGTGTGTGTGTGTGTGTGTGTGAGAGAGAGAGAGAGAGTCAGTGCCAGGCCTTTGTGATAATGATAGGATCTGATGTTTAGTCTACAGTGCAGCAGAGCTGTGACAGTGTGTTCTGAGGACATACAGTGGAGCTGCAGTGCTCAAAGCATTATAGGATGACCACAGGACACTTTGAACAGCTGCTTACTGAGAAAGAGAAATATGAAAACTGAAATCAAAAGAGAAGAAACTGCTGTATGACGAGGACAGACCGAACCCACTATGTGTCATAATGGGACTGGTAAATACAGCTCCGATGAAGAATGACCTTTAGTGTAATGGACATGGTTATACAGCTCTATTCACTATTGTTATGTGAACTATTAGACGTTAAGTCAAAAACAGTCTGAATTCAGCACATAATTCGTTTGGCTGATTCAAACTGATACCTGATGAATTTGTGAGCCCTTTTTTTGATTCTTTTAAACAACCTGCATTATATTCTGTTCTCAGCTCTTCCTGCTGGAGGAGACAAGAGAGCGCAAATTCGACGGTTATGCCAGAACCATTCAGACGGCCTGGAGGAAATATTGTGCACGCAAGAAATATGTTCAAATGAGAGAGGAGGGTGAGTTCAACTCTCAGATGATTTGTTTGAGTGAGGTTAAGATTTTACATACATGGTAAAATAGAACATGGTAGAATGTGTCGCAGTTAAAAGGGGAATTCAGTGGTTTTCCCCGTATGTCTTTGGAGTCTGACCTCAACTGCTGCTTTCAGCTGAATTATTGTCATTATATTTAAAAGTAATAATAGACACACAAAAGACAAAAATACTCCCACCTTGTCTGGGTGATCATGTTCGGGTGTTTATTCAGCTATGTGCCCTTTTGGCCCAGTTTTAGAATAAAAACACTTTAATAAAACACTTTTTTATTTTTTTTATTTTCAGTTTATTTATTAACAATGCCTAATTGTGGACATAAACTTTGTTTAAAAGTTTGGGTTCGTTCAAAAGTATTATTATTAAAAGTCTAAGTACACCTTCATTCAAAAGTATTATTATAAATAATAAATTAATGAATAAATAAATAAATACGTCTCTTGAGCATCAAATTGTGATGGATCATGTGACATTGAAGACTGGAATAATGGCTGCTGAAAATTCTATTTTTTTTATTTATTTTAAAATGTTAAAATAGAAAATATTTATTTTAAATTGTAGTTGTATATCTCAATATTACTGTTTTTACTGTATTTTTGATTAAATAAATGCAGCCTTGGTGAGACATTTTTCTAAAATGTGAAACAATTCTTACCAACTCCAAACTTTTGAACAGAAGTGTACATGAAACCAAGCAGAATTCTTGTCTTTTTATTTCCCAGAACCATATTTTTTTCCTGTAACAATGTAATTTCCACCACATCTCAGATTGGAAATTTGATAGAAATTACATTTTTTTTAAACATTTTGCAATAAAATGATTTATTCTGCTAATTGTATAGCTTTTATATTTTATATAACATCCCATTTTATTTTATATAACATATCACTTACAATTAATTATTTTCACAGTTCTTGTATCAAAATCGCAGCTTGATTGGAAATTGGATGCTCAAAAAATCCGATTTCCAAATGACATTTACTTAATATTTTTCTTGTTTTCTCACACATGGATTTATTTTCAGGCATACTCTTCTGAGGTCTCATTTTTTGTACATGGCATAAGAACTAAAGCTTTGAAAATAGCACTGAACACTGATTTTATCCTCTTCCAGCCTCTGATCTGCTTCTGAACAGGAAGGAGAGAAGAAGGCACAGCTTGAACAGGAACTTTGTGGGCGATTACATAGGTATGGATGATCGGCCCGAGCTCAGGCAATTTGTGGGCAAAAGGGAGAAGATCGATTTTGCGGACAAAGTCAACAAATTCGACAGGCGGTTTAAGGTGAGGTTACCAAAATTAGCACACAGCTGTGCCCAGTACAGCTTCTATGGCTCAGTGACCAAGATTCAGTCTTTGACTTCTTAGCAAGCAGGTCAAATTTCGCCTAGATGACATGCAACCTTTATAGGTATGTATGAGTGTCTAAAACTGTGTTTTTATCTGTTCAGAGCATCAAGAGAGACCTGATCCTCACCCCTAAATCTGTCTACCTGATTGGAAGAGAAAAGGTGAAGCAGGGGCCAGAGAAAGGGATGGTGAAAGAAGTCCTAAAGCGCAAAATTGACGTAGAGAAGATAATGGCTGTTTCTCTAAGGTACGTCAGCGCACAAGCTCAGTCAGTTCATTTAGCACTTGAGGTGAAACAGCACACATTTTCAATCATTTAAATAGGAACTGTAAAAATTGAGCCACAAGGAGGCTGCCAAATGGGCTGCAACTTCCCTCCCATATGTAAAACAGAGCCTGTATGCAGTCCCAAAATGCCTTGCATAACCATCTGCAGAATTATAGGCGTAGAGACATCAAAGGTCCAGTCTGGTTGTTAGAGCCGGCATCTGCCCTGTGTTACTTATTAACACATGTTGAATCGAGGTCTGCGATATACAAAGCTTCGGTCTCTTAAAACATTTATAGTTCTTTTAGTGTTCGCTGGAAAGGATCAAACATCCAGAACTCTCTCAAAGGAACATAACCTAGATTACAGATCTAACATATAAGGACCAAGGACGAGGTACCAGCCCCCCACAACCTTGCATTATATTCCCGTTTTGGAGTGGGGGGTGGTCAATAATGTGAACCAGGTGTTGCTGGGAAGGGAGAGTACACCTTGTAAAAAACTCATTAGAAAGGACTTAAGCTGTGTCTGTGGAAACCCCCAAAAGCACCTCAACACGTGTAACCTGTAATAAAAGACCGTCTCAGGTTGAGTGACTGAACAAATGTGCATATTTCAGATCTTGAAAAGACATTTGTCTCCCATACAGCACAATGCAGGATGACTTCATGATCCTGCACGAGGAGGAGTATGACAGCCTGCTGGAGTGTGTATTCAAAACCGAGTTCATCAGTTTGCTGGCACGCCGATACGAAGAGAGAACACAGAAAAAACTACCTCTCAAATTTAGCACCACGTAGGTTGAAATATATTTAACGTAGCTACAGTTATAGCAAAGCCATGACTTTATTCTTAATGAAAAAGTGAGAAGATTAAAACACAAGATTTTTTTTTTTAGATTTGGACAAAGTGTCTAAATTCCTTTTTGTTTTTGAAAAAAAGTCTCTTTTGTTTACCAAGGCTGTTTGTATTTGATTTAAAAATGCAGTCAAAACAGTAATATTTTATAAAAAATAGTACAATTTAAATGAACCATTTTCTATTTTTATTCCTGTGATGGCAGAGCTGAATTTTCACATTTCTTTGATGAATGGAAAATTCAAAAGAACAGCATTTATGGAAATCTTTTGTTACATTATAAATGCCTTTGCTGTCACTCAATTAAATCAATTTAATTCAGCCTTACTGACTCCAAACTTTTGAGTGGTAGTGTAAATGTTTCATTTCTAAATTATTATTTGGTTTTGTTTCAGTTGTTTCTTTACTATTATATTTTTTCAATGATCAATATTTTAATAAACAAAATGTATATTTTATTATTTAATGCAATGACATTCAAGCATTTCTAAATAGCTGAAGTGTCCAAATACTTCTTGTGGCCACTCTGCACTAATGAATGACTGTGACTGGACCTGCAGGCTGGAAATGAAACTGAAGAAAGAAGGATGGGGACCCTGGAATGCCGGAGGGTCCAGACAGGTGCAGTTCATCCAAGGTCAAGGGGACGTAGCTGTGCTGCGACCCTCAAATAAAATGCTGCAGGTCAGCATTGGACCGGGTTTGCCCAAAAACTCACGTGAGTGATCACTCGTGTTGTGTGTCATTCAGTGCTATTCGTCATCCATGCAAGACCTCATACACCCAAATTCAATCATTCAGGTCCTACTAAGCAGGGCGTCACTCAAAGCCATCCTAACATGTCCAGGACACACCACCACACCCCAACACGAGTCGCACCCGGGCCTCCAGGTACATTACTTTCCTAATCTTCTCATTATCTCAGTCAATATGCATTTGTTCAGAAGATCTTAAGCTTGTATGTTCCTCAGCAATTGCTCACCAGAACGGAGGGCTGAAGAATGCAAGTCACGTGGCCAATCAGAGAAACTCGCAACATCACAGCAATCAGAGGCCGACATCTGGAAACACGGCCCATCCCTTCTTGCCTACTAATGTCAGTCAGCTCAAGGACAGAGGCAGCAGACAGGCACCCCAGCAAACCAACCTGGATTTCCTCAAAGTACCAGACCAAGGGGCCGCAGGGTGAGAGCATACTGCGTATACACACACATACTTGAAATTATATAGCTAACAACAAACGTTTTACTGAAGATAAGATAAACATTTGTCTGATTGCTAGACGCATAGCTGGAGCTCAACTACCAGACTTTATCCATGCAAACAAAATAGTGATCTGCATTTGAATGTAACATGCATGTATCTCTTTACCATAGCAGAAATCGACAACCGTCTGACAATGGAGGAATGTGAGTCTGAGCATGTGTGTAGTTTCTGTTAGGTGGCAGTGGTTGTGGTTCATTTGAATAGCGATAGATCAACCCCAGAGATGCCCAACTTCAAAGACGCCATCGCATCCTCTCAGTCTTGTTTTGTTTTTCCATTTCCTTATCACATTTTATAGATTAAAGTTTGTTTTACACTACTGTTCAAAAGTTTAGCTGCTGCGGTGATATTTTGAATACGCTTTCCAATGCTGCATTTATTTGATCAAAAATCAAATAAAAACAGCCATATTGTGACATATTATTACAGTTTACAATAACCGTTTTCTTTTTGAAAATATTTTAAAATGTCATTTATTCCTGTGATGGCCATTACTCCACTCTTCAGTGTCACATGACAGATATTTGGTGTTCTAGAAACATTTATTATTATTATTATTATCAGTATTGAAAATAATTTTGAAGCTTAATATTTTTTGTGAAAACCATGATAAAATTTCTGTGTAACAATGCGAGTATTTACTGTCACTTGTGCTCAAATTAATGTGTCCTTGCTGAATAAAAGTATTTAAAAAGAATTGTAAAATAATTACTGACATCAAACTTTTGAATGGTAGTGTATGTTACTGAATAGACCTCAGATTGTGAATATACATGAGAGACTGGTTTTTCCTTGAGCTTCAACAAGGTTAAGGACTTTGGGTTGGGCATTTTCTAACATTTTCTCTGTTGTAGTCATGATGCTGGTCGACTCAGACGCATCATGAACGCTGAAGGGCTAACAAATGGCCCTTCGTCACAACAGCTGGAAAAAAAACAATTCTGGGCTTAAAAGTGAGGTGGAGGATCAACTGAATGAAGTCTATTTGGAAATGAAGACTAGTTCAGACTGACAGTGCCACTATCATAAATGTGAATCTGTCGCCACCTAGTGGGGAACACATGAACTAACACCACAAAATCAGACAGCTAACCCTCTCACAGCAGCCTAGTTGACTACCTTCACTTGTAGAAGCATGTTCCTGTGGTTGCTGCAGTGTTAGAAATGTCACGTGTAACTCCATCAGTTAATGTCCTCTGTGATTTTTTTCCAAGGGCCCACAGACAGTCTACAAACAGGCCCACTCCAGGAGGTGGCCGTCCCAAACCAGCCCCCAAGCCGAAGCCCCAGGTGCCTCAGTGTAAAGCTCTTTATGCCTACGACGCCCAAGACACAGATGAGCTCAGTTTCAACGCAGACGACATTATTGACATCATTAAGGAAGGTGAGAGGGTACAAAATGCTTGTTTTACATAATATACAGTAAATGTTTTTTTTATTGTGGCAGAATGTATTTTTGATATCTGTCCATGATAATTTCATTTTGATATATGTCCATTATGTCTAGATGCCTCTGGATGGTGGACAGGGAGGCTGAGAGGTAAACAAGGCCTGCAGACGACATTATTGACATCATTAAGCAAGGTGAGAGGGTACAAAATGCTTGTTTTACATAATATACAGTAAATGTTTTTTTTATTGTGGCAGAATGTATTTTTGATATCTGTCCATGATAATTTCATTTTGATATATGTCCATTATGTCTAGATGCCTCTGGATGGTGGACAGGGAGGCTGAGAGGTAAACAAGGCCTTTTCCCAAACAACTACGTGGCTAAGATCTAACCTCTTCTGCCTTTAATGAGGGGCGCAGACTTGAGCCTCAGCAGACTTGTTAGACACAGAAGGACTGAGATAATGAAGGAAGGAGCGAGGTGCCATGGCTGTGGTTAAACTCCTCAAAAGCTCTGCGTTCTGGTGCCACGGACACTTGAGGGCATGCGGGCAGACGCCGGTCGGACACGAAACATTTCTCCAGGGCGCTGAATACTGAACTGTCCCTGTGAGCACTGATCAAACTATTTATTGTATTTATATTATAACTTTCTACAGTTTATTTCTGATGTGGTTTGTTCATCTGTCATTGATATTTAAGGTGACCTTAATTCACTTGAAGAGATGAAGTAGCCATTTTATGTGGGAACGCTTTTTATTTTGCTTTTGAAATGGATCAATTTTATATGTAAATTAAGGTGCTTGCCTTTTAGGGTCACCTGCTGTTCATGATTTTTATTTCATTTTATTTTTTCCAATTTCTTGAAGTCATGTCCAAATCAATGGTTTTAGTGGGGAATGTTTTGCTGCTAAGGACCGTTTTACATGTTATTGCCTTTCACCTTGTAATTAACAGAAACCCAAATGTATAAAATGCACTACGGCTCTTGAAAACCATGGTTTGTATGCTTTTGAAGTTCATAATCTCAGAACAATGCTGAATGTATCATTGTGCAAAAGATGCAAACAGTTGGGTAAAATTGTCTAAATTTAAACTACAGTGGTATTTCCATGCGTTAAAGACACACAATCAGCACATTGTTACTGTATAGTTACGAAATATTATATCAGTATGACAATATACACATGTACTGGTCAGCTCATCCACACCAACATTCACTAAGGTGCTAGTCAGTGAAGAATCGGAGACTGGATCCATGAACATCTTAAAAAGAAGGTTCTCCAGATAAATTCTTAGGAATTCATAAAAATGTTCAAAAGTGCAATTCTTGAAAAAATGTTAACAAGTTTCCATATTTTCTTAAGAATAAAGTGACAGTTGGTGTCTGATTGTATACTATTCTACTGATGAGGTTGCCATGTCTAATACAACAAATTTAAAACTTTATGCTGTAAATCTTACCCTCATTTTATTTTCCTATGATACATTTAACGCGAATTAGACTAATCATTAGATATGTTACTTCCATTTGGAACTTTATTTGGGGGTTATTTACTTTATTAACATCTTAATTTTGGGTACTTAAGACAAGTTGGAGGTTATCCTTATATTAATAAGTTATTTATGGTGACTTGTAAGAACATGCCTTTCAAGACTTTTAATTAAGAAAAAGTATTTTGAACATACATATTAGTAATGGAAAATTATTGAAAATGGCAGTTTTATTCTTAAAGGAATAGTTGACCCAAAAATGAACAGAAAAAATTCTGTTATTAATTACTCACCCTCAAGTCGTTCCAAACCCGTAAGACCTTCATTCATCTTTCATTTTTCTGATAAAATCGGAGCGCTTTCTGACTCTATATAGACAGCAATGTTACTACCACGTTCAAGGCCCAGAAAAGTAGTAAGTACATGATTAAAATAGTCCATGTGACATCAGTGGTTCAACTATAATTTTATGAAGCTACGAAAGCTACAAAAATAATGACTTTATTCAACAATTGCATTGTGGTACTCTCGTGAATGGCGGCGGACAGTAAAACGGAAGAGAAGAATTGTTGAATAAAGTTATTTTTGTTTTCTTTGCACAAAAAGTATTCTCATATCTTCATAAAATTACGAATGAACCACTGATGACTGTTTTAGCAATGTCCTTACTACGCTTCTGTGCCTTGACCGTCGTAGGACCTTGCTGTCTACGGAGGGTCGGAAAGCTCTCAGACTCCATCAAAAATATCTTAATTTGTGTTACGAACATAAATAAAGGTCTTACAGGTTTGGAACGACATGAGGGTGAGTACTTAATGACAGAATTTTCATTTTTGGGTGAACTATCCCTTTAATGTTTTGTGAATGAGTTATAATAGTTACGAATTATTAGTGAATGAGACCGTTAGATCATGTCTCCATGCCAGATAATTAAAATCCAGCCCCAGGCGCCATTAACCATCTATCAGCCAAGGAGTTGACTGAGCACAGCCAGTGAAGAGCAGGAAACAAAGTGATGGTAATAAAAGGAGCAGTTTATTGAATAATCTTGCATGTTTCAATGCTCAGACTCAGTCTGATGAACACAAATCCAACAAGTAGTGTTATACATCACAAAAATCTTGTGAAATAATCTTATTCATGAAGACAAATAGCCTAAACGGGAGAAAAAAAAAAAACACAAGCAGAAACTAGTTATGACTAATCAATGAAATGAGTATATAAATGGCATAAATTACTATACGTATTATTAAATGGAATAATAAAGTGATTAACTGAGAATTATAAAGAATAAAAGGAAGAAAGTAAAACACAAATGCATGGTTGCTCTCTTGAAACGAAACCGTTTACCTTTGAGGATCCTTAACACCCAATGCCTTTAAACCTTGCCCTTCTTCACTTTGGAAATTAAACGGATTAAGATAATGGTGCAATATCATTGACAGCAGGTCAAGAGACTTTAGTTTAAGTATAAAGTTAAGTACAAGCAGTTATTTATATTTAAGAGCGTGTGCATATAATCCAGGAAGTCAAAGTCAGAGCAGTCAAGTTCAACAAGACAAGCCTAACAAATCACTGTCAACATGAAAACACAAGTCAGAAAATGGTATTAAATCTTTGGATTTTAATTGATTCCAGCTTAAATTTGCCCACTAAGGTAAAGCAAAAAAAATAAAAATACAGCTCCAGCAAGTTCATAAAAACGGTTACAAAAAAACCCAAACTTAAACCCTCAGATTAAAAATGTAATCTTCATAAAAAGTAGAAACAATGTTTATTTATACAGAATCCAAGAATATGTACATCAGTTTAAAAAGCAGCAGTCCATCTCCCAAAATGGCTGACAAAATAAAGTGCAGGTTTCAGTGTCCATTCCCACATAAAAGCCCTCAAGAGCTGGACAGCAGAGGAGCAGCCAGATCCTTCACAAGTGACGACTTCAACTGGGGAAGAAGGCTGATCTTCATGAGCCTACTGCTGGAGTATTTCTTTTTCACAGTCTGCAAAAGATGGACATCAGCAGAGCATTCAGTAGAACCAAAATCCCCATGCACAAGTGCAATAAACTGCTTACCACATGCTTTGAAAGCCCTTCATTGACCATAACCACATTTTTGGCAATATGCTGCATGATAGGCTTCAGGTGGGCCTCATCATAGGAAGAGTAGTGCTGCTGGGTTGGTGACTGGAACAGGAGGAATTAAAAGATGGATAAATTAAATTGAAGCGGGGGGGGGGTCAGATATAGAAAATTCTGAACATTAAGACAATTACCCATTTTTGGCCATCAAGTACAAGCTGAGAAAGGCACAGAGCAGCAGCTGCAGTCTCCGAAGGGTTAAAGTGGACCATGTCATAGTCAATTAGTGTCAGTTCAAGGAAATATTTCGCAAGTGTATGCTTCTCAGCATCAGCCTAAAGAGCAGATGTAGTTAAAAAAAATAAAAAAAAGGCAAGGATGACTCAACATCTGAAGCTTTAACAAATCTGCCAAACCACATCAGGGATCATAAAACCTGAACCTACATTCCCAGCCTTTGAAGCCCTCCGCAGAAAGTGCAGGGGCAGAGGACGTCCGAGCTCAAAGTTCAGCTCACTGAGAACCAGCATCTCCATCTCTCGGATCTGAGCTTTTGTGAAGGCATCGTCAGCAATGTAGGCAAAGTCCCCAACCATCGGCACATACATCTCCTCGTATTTACAAGCAATCAGCATTGCGGTAACACCCACTAGCTGAAGCTTCTTACGGGTCACAGGCTGGACCTGAAAAAAAAATAAAAAAATAAAAAAATAAAAGCCTTTTCCATTTAAAGAAACCTAGAAATTAAGACCATGTATACTGTTGACAAAACTGCTTTTACACTGTAGTTTACGGTGGCCGAGAAGTGCAGAGCAAATCACAATTCTGGAAACAACAACAAATTACAAATGCAAATCTAAAAAACAAAACAATTCAGAAAACACGACAAATCGGAAGAGGTAGGTATAGTTTGACAGCGCCATTGGTTTGGGATTACTCACCGCTGACTGGACGAGACCTCTGGCAATCAACGTATACAGGGAAGAACAGCATAGTCGTGGTAGAAAGTTCGGAGATGTTATTAAAGTAGCTCAGTTTAAATGTATTACGTCTTTTGCCGAACTTTTTTTTTTCTCCCTTTTCAAATCTCGATCACATCGTAAAGGCATTTATTTTCAATAAAAATTAAGGAAATAATCAAAAAGTTGAAAATAAAAAGTATTGGGTAGGGTAGGTGTAGGGAGGGCTTTATTGTACCAATAAGGTGGCGTCGTTGTGTTTTCTGACTTTTTTATAATGTTTTCTGAATTGTTGTGCTTTCTGAATTGTTATTTTGGTTTCAGAATTGTGATTTGCTTTGCACTTCTCGGCCACCGTAGTAGCTTGGTACTGTACCTCATACAAATTAAAGTCCCCCGTAGTCTAATTGTATCCCTTAAAACTAATCTTTGATCATTAATTACATAAATTTTTCTCTTGTAATTTTTTTAAAAATAATTTAGGCTTTAAAATAGCTTGAATGTAACTCTACACCCTTGCCTCATTTACTATACACGGATCAATGAATACGCAAATTAGCCCCACCTCCACTCAGTCACACCAGCCAGGGCCACCTGATCCACGGATAATGACTGATAAAACTGTTTTACTAGCGGACAACTACAGTGGATACTGCAACAGTCATTAAAATTACTTTGTGTCCTCAATGCCTTGAAGACTCGAATGCAGCAAAGTTTGTGATTCTTAATTCACGAAACGTGAAGTGCAGACGCCGACGCGGGAGAGGTGGGTCTGACTCCGGGCTACTTTTACACGGTTGCCACGGGTTATTCAAGTTAGCAGTTCTAAAGTCACGTTAAACCACAGCTTCATGGGTTTTTGCTTTATTTTAGGTTTTGTGCTGGTAATTGGTATATTTAGCATGCGAACTCTATGCACAGTGT